AATAATGTAGGATTTCCTTAGATGTAATAATTACTAATGCAGAAGGCTGTACTAATAAGAGTGTAAACCAGAGATGTGCCTTTTATACCTTTACACACACAATAAAAAGCAAAACCACATCAGAAAAAAAAAAAGGACAAAAAATATCAAATCTAATTCCTTGGAATCTTCATACTGGTTCAATGAAGTTGACAGCTCAACTATAAAGAGTTATAGAAGCAGAAAACCACTCTACAAGACAAGCTCTTCTATCAATAAAAGCAAAATTAGAAGGTATCATTTAAATATTTATGTAATACAATTTTAACTAATTGCTTGATATACAACATAATTAACCCATGGAATAAATTACAGAATAAAATCAAGAGGTTACTTAATTAGCTCAGTAACAGCAATAATGACATTTTTGAGGCTTTTAACAGTGAATTATAGATGAAAGTCAAAATTAATGGCCCAAGGTAAAGACTAGAAAACAGAATTTTCTGCTGTCAGTACTTGAATTAAAACAAATAATTCACCATTACCCCATTATAAATTCTTTATTTTACATTAGTTTAATAGGGAATGAATTTACCAATTCAATGTTTACCTTTCTGTATTAGGGAGGGTTCGGACCATACTGAATCTTGAAAACCAAGACACCGTTGCAAGCTCAACAAAACTGATATTTATTACCAAGAGGTGGCCAACAAAACAAACAAACCCAAAAGGGAGGAAGGAGGAGAGAAATAAGCCCCCAGTACGACCTCCCCAGTTACCCAGTTGTTGCCCATAAAGTTATCTTACTGACCTAGCATGCCTATAATTACCCATAGCAGAAGCTGCATCCTTGGAGAGTCAGTAAGTTCACAAACTGGCAGGCGTCCCCGCCAAAGGCAACATTGTCCTTGAGGTAAAGCTAGCTCTCTTCTAAGAAAGCGCTACCTGCTTTTATACAATTAATTGAGTGACCTCAACCTCCGCAGGTGTGGCCAGCACCGCCCAACCCGAGGCCCTCAGTCCCACCCCCTATTATGTAAGCACATCTCTTCTGCGCATGCATGAGAACTTCAGAAATCCCCTAACGCACGCGCAGTGTGCTTTGGGGGTCTTCCTTAACTGAGTCAGGGGTCGAGCCTTCCTCCCTTCCTCTTTGATTTCTCCTTCAAATGCCCTTGGCAGACAATGAACCAATAGTAGAACACCAATTACAATAGTTTATACAGAAGTTCTCCCTCCAAGGATGAATTCACCGTTTTATCAGTGAACTTGGCAGGGAGAATATAAACTACTACAGGTGGCCAGGGCCAAACAGAGATCAAAAGTATCAGCATAAATTCACCTTGCTACACTTTCTTTTAATGGCCTCCTATTCCTGAGGTAAATAACCCCTTTTTCAGATATCTCTGTTACCTACCTAATTCCAAATCTCCCATTTGATTCATTCTAGTACTAAGAAACGCTAATATGCAAGAATATTTGATACGCTGGCCCTTCAATATACATTTCAATACAGAATTTCAGTAACTGTTTCCCAATTGCCACCTTTCAAATCTATTTAAAATAACTAACTGCAATTATGTTCAGTAACTTCATGTTAAAATACAGCAGATGTTTGGAAACCTCTGAGATAAAAATCTATAGCATTTAATCTGTCACTATTTAAAGTAGAGCTATAAACAACTGTAATATCTCAACAATCACTCAGAAAACTTTACAAACCTTTCTGGGTCTGCAAACTTGACGATTCACTAAATTAAAGTTCTTTCTGGTCACAAGATGCCAGGTTTCATTATAGTATATTATTATTCAAAGTGTAAACTACAGTACTATGTTAAGACTTGCATACAGAAAGCCTCATCTATCTTAAACAACAGCTAAGTTTTATTCAACCCACAGAATTCATACAGAGTGTGTTCTGGAAACCAGACTTCCGAACTTTGCTGTCTTCTCTTGGGTGTCATGAAGAGCAAGCATGAGATTCCACAGGAAAGGAAACAGTAGGTAAATCTGAAAAGCGGAGCCTAGTATCTTCAGTCCCTCACCTTTTCTTTAGCTCAGCTATGCCACTTGGAGCAATCCAAGCTCTTTAGGGAATATTTTGTTAAGGCTACCTCCTGATACCTTTCTCTATCTTCAAACAGTTCATGGTCTGTGGTTTAAAGAAGAGTACTGTCCGGCTTCTCTAATGTCTTGAATTGGTACAGCCATCTGCAAATCTCAAAATCATTAAATGAACTAATTAAAATTCAGGCACCAATGTAACCTGTAAAACTTTATAGCTCAATAATAAAATGGAATAATTAGATCTATGATGGTTCTAAACACAAGTATGTACCATATTTTACGTATCTTTACCTAAAATGCAGGGTGAGAAAACTTCAGCTGGAACACCATGTTTCAAATATTCTAAGTGTTCATCTAAATACCAATTATTTATTTTCTTATTTTCCGTTCAGAGCTTAACCATACACTGGCTACAAATACAATGAATAAAACATGAGCTGAGTAAAGACATCATGATTTTAGTACTATGGTATCTTGCTAAAGGAAAGTCTTGGTCTGAAGTACCACTGTGTTGGATTCTGGTTAGAACCTTTTAACTGAAAATTTCTAACTCATTGAGGAAGATGGTAATCTTAGACCTTTACTCTGGAAAGCTGATCTTCCTAGAGTGTTCTTACTGGAGTGAGAACACTCAAAACAGCTTGTACAAAGTGAAGCAAGCTGTCTCATACTTGCATTGGGATCAATGTCTACAGACAAATACAGGGTTAACAGACCATCTCACATCTTGGCGAGCTTCTTACAGTCCCCAGTACAGCCCCAGTGGCCCTTACAAACGTTAGTTAATTAATGCTCTTACACTAAATTACCTTGACTATCCTATAGCAAGTGTGAGGATAAGGCTGTCCATAACAGCAAACAGGCATGGAGCTAACATGAGCCAAGGAGTTAATCCCACAACCTACACAAGTGCTCTTATCCTCTGGCAAATGAGAAGCCACAGCCTTAATCCACAGTAAATACTTCAAATTATCTCATATTGTGCAATCCTCACATTTCCAGAGAAGCACGAGACAATCTGAACTACTAGAAATAAATAAAAAAATATATATTTAGATTAGCTATTAATTCTTCATTCTGAAGATCCTCCATTGCTCAAAGTCATATATCATGGTTTCAACAAAGTCTGTTTAAAGGTTTCTTGAAAGTTTGGAGGCTGAAAAAGAGATCAGGAATTTAAGGGGAAAAAAAAGGAAAATGTTTCTTTAAAACAGATAACAGAGCTTTCAGGTTATCTTTTCTCTCACAAAACACTTGTATGATGGTGATATCATTAACCTCTACAGCATCACCAACTGAAAATTGTTTTAGATAACACATTTAAGTTCATACTACATCAGAGGAATTCACCCACCTTATATAATTAGAAGCCTAATCTGTGTAAAAATTTTAGGTATCTAGGAAAATGGACATTTCATATGAAGTTGTCATAGGTTTACTTTTTCTAAAAATCCAAGCAGAAATTTTCCTTTCCCCCCATCCCACTGTAAGAGAAGGAGGTTGAACAAGGAGGAAGAAGGGGTAATTAACTATACAAAAGAACTAGCTGGCAGACCTGCATTCCCAGCTAATAGCCCTTCTAAAAAACTGCAGGGAGGGGGGAAGAGTTTTTCTCCTCCTCTCCTTACAAACAGGGGACACTTTCACTTTTTGCCTTAACGGAGGCAAGGGGTGTGTGTGCGTTGGACAAGCTTTGAGGCCGTTTTGCTCTCGACCTGGTCATCTGGCTGCTCTCCAGCCTCGGTTTGCCTTCACACTGCCCTGTCTCCAGCCTGAATCTGCTCAGAATTCATCAGAGAGTTTGTGCTCGTCAAGGAAAGGGGGGGGTCCCAACCGCAGCCAGCCACAGACAACGTGAGTTCTGTGGTAAAGAAACTGCCCTTCTTTCCCCTTCTCCCCTTCCCCTCCTTGGTGGGGGGAGATCTCCATTTTGGCTTCTCCCGTGATCCGGGGCCCCCCACGCGGTGGCCGCCAGAGCCCAACAGCGCCCTCGCTGACCAACACCGAGCACTGCAGGCTCTGCTCCTCCAGTGATCCAACAGCGCTCCTGCCAACCGGGATTAGAATCGCGCCAGAGGACAGAGAAGTATCAGACCGTTTCCTTTTTTGAAGGGGACTTCTGGGTACAGGATTATTGCTTAGTTGTTTTTGTGTTCTGTTACTGTTTTTGTCAATATACATATATCCTTTTATAAAGGGTTGTTATTTCTTCCTTTTTCCATACTTCCTCAATTGGAGCCTCTTAATTTCAGATTTACAATTGCTGAGAGAGTTTGGTCTAGCTCATAACTCATCCTCCTTAGCAAAACACTTTAGTCTCTTTACACTGAGACAGAAGTGTATTTTGCTTGCATAATCAGAAGGGAAACATGCCATTGATAACTCATGAAGAGAAACCGTACCTAACCCAAGTCACTCTATGGCTGTACTAAATCAGCTACTGATCTGGGGCAATACTGATGACAGGAGTGTTTAAATCATTATTTTAGTCCACATCAGCAGTGAGCTTTCAAACCACATCTCCCAGTTGCCTCCATTTACTGTGCTTGGGTTTCAAAACACAGAGCTGTTTGAAACACTTGAACTAGACTCTTTTGCAATGAAACTAGATCGGAAGATTAATTTCAGAAATACATCCAATGTGCTACAAGTATTGGGGAAGAGACGTACCAAGGGTAGTTCTGATCTAACTTGCACAGTATAGATCTTACTTGTTATAGAAGCATATCAAAAATTGTCTGCCTAAATCAACCCTGTAGTACTCTTATGAGACAGAGTAATCTTGGATTTGGGTAGAGACAACATTTTCGATAATCATGAGATCAAGAGTGCAAGACACTTTCTACTTGCATTAGAAACATATCAATCCATATATTAATTTTTCATCATATAAACCATTACTTCCTTCAAACTACTTGTAAACAACTATCAGGTAGTACATGAGTGCAACTTGCCTGATCAAGATAAAAAGCACTACCATCTCGGATCTCTCGTCGTTGTTTGAGGTCAGTTTCTGTGGTGTCCCTCGACAGTGCAATATATTCAACCTCCCGCTTTGTTAGCTCCTGTGGACAACAGATTAAAGTTATTACAAAAGTAAGACTATAACCTCAGTAAGTAAACTTTAAGAATAGGCCTAATGGTACTTTTGTACAAAAGAGCTCTAGGCAGCAGCACACTAATTTGAAATAACTCTGAAAAAATCTAATATCTCTTATTTTTAAAATGTTTACAGTGTGTTCTGCCTCAAACAAAATGGTTTCAATTTCTGCTCAATAAACTTTTGTTTTCCCCAAAACCAAAATAACCAGCTATATATTCTTTCCATTGAACATCTGTAAAATTGTTTAAGTTAATCTTCTGGTTCTGGACCCCAAAAAACAATCAGCATCTGCAAATCATGAATAAAAATAAAAAAACACATTTTTTTTAACTGATATTTATTTAACTGATATTCCTGCTATTTCCATATCTGGGTTATCATGCATTCTGCTTAGGAAACGGACTCACGATGACATGCTCTTAGCCCTTACTCCTCAATTAAAGGTACCACTGATTTAACAGAACTTTCTTATGAGGCATCTTTTAACTATAGTTGTATGAAAAGAATAAAGCAAAGATATGAAACCCTATGAAAATTATTTCCTTTCCACTTTCTCAGTGCCTACTGGTTACAAAGCCACCAAGTCCTTTATGTTGCAGGTAGATAAAATTGCACTTTCTTTAATTAAAGGAAAAAAACAGACTGTTTTTTCAACAGTTAGCCCCATGTATATGAATACATAGTAAAAGCTTTCAGTAACAGCAGATAAAACTTTTCCAGGCTTATGTATCTTCATTAAAGGCACCACAGCACGTATCAGCTTACACGGAAAGACCAGCCTTCCCATAGTTTTTTGGCATGGCACTGAATCAGTAAGCTGCAGCCTTTCTAATAGATCTCAAGTGCGTAAAATCAGTGGCATAAATAACAATACACATTCTATGTCCCATGCCTGGATATCAGGTGTTTTCTAAGTCCTCTTTTTAGGTTATACCAAACTCTTCTCATTTTTTTAAGGAATGCATCAAGCTATCGAGTAGCACATCTGGTTTGCTGAATTAAGAAATCTTTTCTCTCTTTTGCATAGTTCAAATCTTGCAGCTTTCTCTTTTATGCTTTACCTCTGAGAGTTAGTATTTGAATCAGTATCTTTTGATTTTTAAAGGAATGACTGATCTTTATGACAACTGTTTATACACCTCCATTTACGATCCCTCTGCCCAACCAGATTCCCGATATAGCTCATGGTAGACCAAGTCCTACCCACATCACTTTTGGGGGCAAACAACCCTCTCCTCCTGATCATTTAAGGGCACTGACTTTTTAAATGAGAAATTTTGTACATGTTGCTCCCATGGTTCATGCAGATGGACGTAGGCAAGTCCTTCCCACATTCCAAGAGAGGATCATACATGCATCTACTTTAATCACTCATAATAATTGTTCCCAAATGTTACTCAGAACACTTCTTTACTAAATCCTTTCCTTCGTTTGTTTTTTTATGTAATGAAGCAAAAACGATTTGTTGTCTGTAACAGTAGCCAGATATCTTAATCTTCTAACATACATAATGCCGAGAACAAACTGTTTCTCCATTTGTGATAGCATATGGTAACACAGTTTTTCAACTCATTTTTTTTTACCCTGGAGTTTAAGCAGAAAAGCATGTATTAAAATGTCTGTACTTTCTATTTGTCTATAACAAAAATTGAACTTTGGAAAGTACATTTATGGAAAAACTTATTTACCTCCTAAGTAGCTTGCTGCAAGATTTTCTAGGACTAACTTTTTACCACTTGTCTAGTATAGGAATGACTAACTGACATTAATAACTATGTCTCCAAGAATTTAAACCAACGTACTTACCAGATACTGCATGGCAATAGATCGCCGGAGAGGCCCAGGGGGCCCAATAAGAAAGACATCTTGGCCAAGAAGATCTTTCTGCATTATCCATCTTAAATGGTGGACTACAGACTGGGCCAGAGAATCTGTCACTTTGAAACACAAAGATAAGAACACATTATTAAATTTTGAAAAGTGCTAGATACCTGACCATTCACACATTTTTTTGTTCTTGTCTTCAAAAATAAAATGAAGACATAAAGATGTTCTGTCCTAAAGCTGGATAGCTGAAAAGCAGAGAATTCCACGCAGAATTTATATTAGACCATTTCATTTACATATAAGTTTACACAGCTATCTTACCCACTGCTTTTTTGTCTGCACAACTTCATCCTTCAAAAAAACAAACAACATAAAACAGAAAAAAAAGTTGCTGATTCTTATTTCACATTAAACTGATTAACATAAAGATGTGTTTTTATTACTCAATGTTGAGTGGACTTCTCAGTATCAGTTAATATAATGTAAATACATTATTAATAATTTTTAAAATATTTATCCTGCCTATATCCCAAAGCTTTTTTGAATTGTGAACTTCAAAAAAAAAAATACTGTGATTGTGCCAGACGAAGATCAGTAATCAGGGACATACTTAATTTGTTATTTTTTTAAAAGACAACTCATTCCTGTTTATATTTTGACACAATAAACCACAGAATTACTAAGGAAATGCAAACCTTGCCATATCACTACATTGATACCATATAGCTTCCAAAATCATCATAAAAAACAACCCAAAGCAGATCTGCTTACTTCTATTAAGAAATATAAAACTCATTATTTTAAAAAGCAATAACCTGATTATAATTAAACTAAAGCCTTTACCATATGCACTCAAATGTTGGCAGCACTGGAAATCATCATGCAGAAAGAGCACACTGAAGGAGGGGCGTCATATTCCCAGAACAGTCCTTCACATATCCCCCAGCAAACCCTGGCTCTTTCTCACCCACAAGCAAGAAGCACTAGTGCAGGAAGAGAAGGCGAACATAAGCAAGTCAGGAGGGAGACTAATGTATGCACGTATGTATATGGTTACTTTCAGAACAACCTGACAAGACTAATGATGGTCGGAAGCTGGAGGCTCAAGGGTGGTGAATGGGATGCTGAAGCACAGAAAGAAAGGAGCAAGAAGTAATGAAATCTCCAAATTAATATTTGGTTTTTTAACTTTTTTTCAGTGCAATTACTAGTTGCAATTAGAAGACAACATTTAAAAAAACAAGGCTCAGTGCTACTTAAGCTTTCCTGAGACAGGGAAGTAGTGTGTGCAGGGCAGAGTTAAGGACAGCAAGCAGTAGAGCCTCTCATTTCTGAGAGGGTTCAGTTCACTTTGCATACCAGAATTAAAATTCATTTTTGTAAGATCATAGAAACAGCTTTAAATGACTGTGTGACATTCAATACAGATTTTTCAAGCATAAAGGTGACTAAGGAAAACTTTGACAAAAACTTTAACTGAATGTTTTGGTCTTTGGTCTGGCACTCAGCAAAGCCATGTGAAATCATCTACTTGCAAGGAAATCTACAATATCCTGCCCACCAATATGAACAGGAATAGTTACGCACACAGGTGAGCAATCTACCTACGTACATTATGGTTGTCAGATTAATTTGTAAACTAACATTCCAGGTTTGCTTTATTGTTTTGTTTTCTAAACAACTGTCATGAGCATGCCCAGGATTAGCTTTCATATATGGTATAGTAAGATAATATGAATGCAAAATACTTTCTTCTTCACTGCAGTATTGTATTCCAAAAGCAATGCACATTGTACCACACGCAACTGGTCAAATGCAAATAAATCCTTTCCTTTCTACAAGATTTTCAAGAAAATATGGCAAGTTTCTACTAGATACATTCTTCGGGAAATAAAGGGTAATACATCACACCAGAAGAACTGCTCTGTCCAAACTATGCTACTGGACAAGTATGCAAATTTGAAAAGCATCACACAAACAAAAAGTATTATCTTAAAGGTACCAAAAATTTTAAGACAGATCTTACATTCGTTATTACTTCTACCTGCATGAAGCCAATGTGCCTCTAGTGTATTTTTATAATAGTTGTTCAGTACATTGTTCCAGATATTAAGCCTACTTCATTTTTCCAGCTATGCTGTTCTAAAATCATGTAACACTTTCTTTGTACATGCAGTCTATGCTACATAAACTATTTCCAAAGCACAGTAGTTTTTCAAAAGCAACCTTAGATGTACATACACAGTATCTTGTATATCATTTATATATATTTAGACTACTTGTACTGTGTTTTCTGCATTGCAAGACTTTTAAGTTTTCTCTAACCTGACTTGAAAAAAAATTCCTCTCTATTCAGGAACCATATGTCAACATTACTACAAGTATCATGTAACCATTTTCTACAACATTTAGAAGACAGGGCAAATTCACTGAGGAAAGCATCAGCAAGTATATTACAGCAATTTTTATTAATTATCCAATGAGTCACATAGCATCTAATGCAAACTGGGTTTGAACAATCTGTTTAGTGGCACTCTGCTGATTAGCAGTAGTTAAATAGTTACACTCTTAATCTGCAGGATGGTGCATAGGAAGCCTCCACAGTGTATTCTCTAAGACACCATCTGGCACATGCAGGAGAGTAGTTGGTGCTACAATTTGCTATTCCTGTGTACCAAGGACAGATAGCAAAAGAAATTGCATTCTATCGATTCATAATATGTGATAAGTAGGACAGTACCTAGCAGAATCTGCACAAACATTTTGTAAAGTGAGCAGTTGAAGATGAATGGAGAAATCCCCAAATAAGAAAAGTAGAAAATGTTTTAGGTAGATTTTGAAGCAAACACAGCAGCTGTTCCTGTTTGATCCACAAATCAGCTTTTGATAAAACCAAGACTGAAATGGCTGTGCTAACCTCAGAAATTTTCTGGTTCACTCATACGTAAATTCTTGGCAGATGCTACACTCACTGAAGCCATAAGATTTGCTGGAGATAGCAGACAGTATCTTCTGGCAAGTCCTTGTGTCCCAGCTACAGAAGAAATCCCATAAATAAGGTGACACCTAACTCTTTCCACTGTTCAGACAGTTAAGTGAACTGATTCCCAAAAATATCTATTCCAAATGCAGTACAAAATACAGCAGAACTTGTGTCCCTGTTTGATCATTCACATAATAACAAACAGGCACTTAGAAGACAACAGTATACATAATTTTCAACAGAATAAAAGAAGATCTCTGCATACCCTGAACCTTCACTACAATGCATGCTCAGAGTCTGAAAATTTCTCCTTTTTTCAGGAGAGAAAAAAATTCATGACAGGAAAAAGATCTTGTCTGAATACCAAGGGGGTCCTTTAGCTGTCCACAGCAGCCTGCAGTACATCCAGCAAGGGGGCAGCTGCCATAAAATACAGTTACGGAAGAAGGGGAAAAGGAGGGAGGTCTTTGTCTGAAAACATAAACACATTTCAAAAAGGGAATTTTTATTTTATTTTTTAAATTAGCTCACTGAGACTCACTTCACAGCTTGTTCAGGCTGGGGGACAATGAAGAAAGATAGTGAGTTGGCCAGGAGAGAGTGGAGAAGGCAGCAGGGCCAAGGTGAAGAGGGAGGTGCTCCTATGTGGTCTGCTTTCAGTGACTGTCATTTAGCACTTTGCAAGTAAAACATTGCTGCTCTTCCCATTTTATGGTGATGCACAGAGTCCAAAGACTTTTCAGTCTTATAATGCGGTTACATCACAGACAGTTTTCACTGGAATACTATTTTTCCTCATAAATTTTTCATGGAAACTGTCTTCATTCCAAAAATTTTTGTTCTTGCGGTGGTAAGGAAATAAGTTGCGAGTCTTTGCAGGGGCTTAGAAAGGGGGAAGTTACTTTTTAGATGAGACCATAAACTCATAGATTAATTCCTCTGAGTTGATTGCTTCAGTTCTACATAGATAAATCATATTTCTTCATGTAAATTAAAAGATAATATAAAGGAAACATGTAAAACCAAATAGCTTTCTGGAAGAAACCCTGAATGGGATTCAGAAGACTATGTTTCTCCTAGTGACACATAAACATGGAATAAATGAAACTATTCTTAGCTGGATGTACAACTCATAGAGAAACACACAGTCAGAGCAGTTATCTGTAGCCCAGACTCCCACTGGAGGGACATACTGTGCCTGCTTTAAGGTGCAACTGCTCAGTTCAGCACTGAAAAGTATGAGAGATTCTAGAAAAAAAGCAAGAAAAATTATCAAAATAAATTGGAATTCAGTTCAGAAAATAAATAACTGTTTTCCAATATGCAAGACAGAACCACCACGAAGAAAAAAGTTATCTGTATATCATGGTTATGCTAGATAAAATAAGACCCAAGGGAACTGAAAGTATGCCACAAAAGACCTAAATGAGGTATTTAAACAAGCTTTTGTCACAAAAGAATCACTAATTACTGGAGCAAAGTGTGCAGAGAGGCTGTGAAATCCATGTCACCATCACATCTTAAGAACAAGGATGACAAACATCTCTCAGGAATGGTTCAGATTCAGCTGACCTTGCTTTGAAGCACACGGAACATGATTCTCTGAGCTCCACCGAGACCTTTGCAGAAGGTTTCCATGTCCCTGTATCTCCCTGTGCCTCACTCTCAGTACAGACAAAACAGAGATAATGATGTAAAATGTTCAGAACTCTACTGACAAAAAGATCACCATTTCAGATTCTGGATGAGGTCGTAACACCCAAATAACAGTTGGAAGCCTACATGAAATGTAGTGTTGAAATAATCACCATCTCTAACAGAAGACATCTTCCCTGAGGCTAGGAATGAAGTACTTACAGAATATTCTGAGTTCGAAGGGTCCCACAAGGCTCACAGTCCAACTCTTAAGTGAATGGCCCATACGGGGATCAAACCCTTGATGATATTAGTACCATGCCCTAACCAGCTGAGCTAACCTCAGGAACTATGCAATGACTTAATCTTTTGTTAGCACAACATTACAGTCATACTGCAATACAACCTGTCTCTATAATGTGTTGCACTCCGACACTCAGATGCAAAGTTAGCACAGAGAAGAATGAACACACATTCCAGTGCAAATCTGAA